AAGGCATATAGAATAAGTGCAAAAAATATATTTAGAAAATATGTTATAATAACGTTTTAATTACAGGCGGCTAAATATTTTTAAGTTTACTTATTAATTTATTTATTCTCCATTCTGATACAAAAGTACAAAAGATACAAAGTAAATAACCTGTAAATTATATGATTTACACACAATGAAATTGAATCTTAAATATTATAAAAAATTGATTCCCAAATTAAAAAAAAATAGTGACTGTTAATTTATTTACTGATGAAAATATTATCCTTTCAAAATAACACTAGTACTTTAAGATTTTAATAATATTTCAATGAAATCAATACAAGAAAAATCCTTTTTGTTTGAAGAAGTTGACACTCGAGGAGATGATCATGGAAATGAAGCGATCGGGCTTTTCCTCGTTGCAGAAAAATTGTTTTTATTCAAAAACAAACAACGCGTATTAGTCAGCGAGCAGCGCGTTTGCTCATGAAATAGGGTCGCAGACCGTGACCGAAACTGGTAGAGCCATTTGTTTTTGAATAAAAACAATTTTTCTGCAACGAGGAAAAGCCCGATCGCTTCATTTCCAAGATAAATCCTCTCTCAACATTTATTCTTCCCTTTTTTTTTTTCAAACTATTAACCGTTAAAAGTGCAAATGTATTTTTGCAAATTGCAGCACATTAGAGGGGGCGGACGAAGGTGGCTGCTTTGTTTGTTTGAAAGTGCATGACGCGTTTAACCCGTCGAGACCACAACTCGGAGGCCGCAACGTGCCGACACCAGCCGACCACCCCTGCAGGCATCAATATTACGGGTTCGCAGCGAGCAATGAAGAAAATATTTAAAAGGTTTTCACATCAAAAGGGCTGCAGCGCCGCCATTCAAAGCTGCAATTATGAGCGATTGCCATTGAAAGCTTTTCTTTCATCTCGCTCAGGAGCGGCGGCGGCGGCGGCTTTGGTCTCTTTTTCTCGGCGATCGGTGTCGCTTTCACGCAAAAATAATGTAAAATGCACCGTCACTTTGCCAATGACGACGTTTTCTCCGCTCAAAGGAACGATTCTGACCGGGGAAATGCATATATTATGCAAGAGCAAAGGAATTTCTGCAGGAGAGATGCATGAGTAAAAATTTGCTTTTCAGTGCAGAATAAAGTAGCGTTTTATTTAAATAGGGCAGTTTCTTTTTGGCATGAGTTGAAACTTCGTGCAAAAATGTGTGAAATAATTTTAAATAAATGGTAAAAAATTTCAGTTCACAACTTTTACTAAATATTTTAAATCATTATTCTAAAAAGTTTATTGTTATAATTCATTCCAAACTACATTCTGAAAAATGGATTTTTATGGATTTTGTCAGTGCGATCCTAGATATATTTGCAGATTTTCAAGTTTTATTTAGAATCTTTAAGAAAATCATTTGATTGATTGACTCTTTGATTTACTTCAAAGTCAGCAAAGTAGTTAATCTTACTGTACAGCTACAAAAATAAAATGAAATTTTAAAATCAATTTTCCACGGAATAAGGATACCAAATCCCCCGTCAACAAAGGTTAATAGTTGAGAACTGCAGTCAACATTGAATTAGTCTTTACTGCTTACAATTAGTAATTAAAATATATATATATAATATATATTTGGTTGCACACAATAAATAATTGAAAAGAAATTATGAAGAATTATTAATTTCATATAATCAACACAAAAGTTTCATTACATAATAATGATTTAAAAATATTAAAAATTATTAAAATAATAAGTTTAAATATTATTTATTGACTTGACGACGGCAAAAAATGGAACTAAATTTAATGAATTAAAAATAAGTTTATTAATATTTTTAAATGTTTAATATCATTTTAAAACCTTTTTGATTCATTCATCTGTACTAAGCAAACACTTTTTGGAGATTCTATAGAGTTTCTTGAGTCATTTTTTTCGCATAAAGAAAAAATGTAATGAATAAATAAACCAACGAGGAGAAGCCGTATTTTAAATTCAAAACAAACCTTGAAATTATGTTTTGTTGTTATTAAAAAAAATGAAAATAGAAGTTGAGATTAAGCTTGGCTGAATACCTCACTAATTTGTCCAACCGTAGTAAAATTTGGCTTAGTCATCACCTCTGTTGCAATTAGTCTCAGAAATAGGCAAAATGTTGCAATTTCTAAGGCTCGGAGGAAAAAAACGAGGGCGGCCTTTTTAACATATACGTACGCATTTTGCACAAAAAGCAAAGCAGAACCGCGCGCACAGGAAATACCGGCGCTCTTTATCTAGATTGCTGGCAGACGTTGCGCTCCTTCACTCAGCGCTGATGGAAATATGAAAGGAGAAAAGAGAGTACTCCACATCCTAATGCAGTCGGCAATGAAAGAAAATTCTCTCTCTCTCTCTCTCTCTGTTTCGGCCCCCACATTACGTTTAATTGCTTCTCTCTCTGTGGCTGCGGCGGCGGCGGCGTTGGCGGCACCGCCACTACATAAAACCTCAAAACTCTTTTTGTTTTCGACTGGTGTGTAACGACAAGTAGCGCCACGCGCAAGATACAGCCTTTTTAATGTTTTGTGGCTTCCCATTAAGCAGCACCAGCGAGATAACAACACACACTCGCTCTCTCTCCACACACGACACGACACACTCGGCCGTAAATGCCACTGCCGACCGACGTCGCTTAAGAGGTGGTGGTGGTGCCGCCGCCGACACGCAGCCCCTTTCCCGACGCCGCCAACGGCAATTGCAAAATTCCAACGCCTAATGCGGGAAAAATTCGAGAAAAACGAGAGAAAAAGGTCGTCGAACCGAAAATGGACCTTTCCACAGTGGGTTTCTTCTTTGAAAAGAGTTCCTCTGCGCACTTTCCACCATCATCTAGATTTCAATTTTTTTTTAGAAATTCTGACCTACAATGCTCTGAATTGAGGAGCTGAAATGTTTTAAAGAGATTTCTTGAAGCTAAATTAATAACGAATTATATTTAAGCAAGTTTTAAATTAAAAATTTATAAGGAAAATTTTTTAGTTTCGAAGCAACGATGAAATGGTGCAGGTATTAATAACAAGCTGAATGTAGTTACATTATCTTATATAGACAAATATTATGAAATTGCAGTTTAAGTTGAAATTTAAGAAACCGTTTTCGGATAAAAACAAACCATTTTTAATCTAAATTAGTTTTAGAAGTAATTGAGAGTCAAAGAAAGTTTAAGAGTTTAGATACAGTTTCCCGTATTTTAAAATCTGACTTCACTTTAAACACAATTTCTTTTACCTTTTCTGCTCAAATTTAATTAATTTTGCTTAGAGTGCAGGAAATCGTGATCTTTCTAAAACCGGATCCTCCTCTAATAAGCCTTTCCGGCCTTATTCAAACATATTTTTTTTTGACGTTAGTGAAGTTGGCGATATCGCCAACACTTTTTGGCATTTTTTTAAAAGTGGGGAAGTTGGCGATATCGCCAACTTTTTTTATCTTAAAAAAGAGTTATAAAAGAATGCTGATTGCGTTCTAGGGGATGCATTTGGCTATTACAAGTAACCCGTTATGCATAAGACCTCTAGAAGTACATAAAATGTTGATTTTTCGCGATTTACACACTCAAGGCCGGGTTCAGCCGCTTTCTAACCCACCCCGTTCGACACCCTTGACACCCTTACATAAGAAAACCACCCTTACATCGCGGCTGAACCCGGCCTTCTAATTTAAATGTTCACCCGAAGGTATTTTTATGGTGCCGACTACAGTGAAAAATCGGTTTTTCACGATTTACACCCTCAAGGCCGGGTTCAGCCGCTTTCTAACTCACCCCGTTCAACACCCTTGACACCCTTACATAAGAAAACCACCCTTACATCGTGGCTGAACCCGGCCTTCTAATTTAAATGTTCACCCGAAGGTATTTTTATGGTGCCGACTACAGTGAAAAATCAGTTTTTCACGATTTACACCCTCAAGGCCGGGTTCAGCCGCTTTCTAACCAACCCCAACTTACACCCTTGACACCCTTACATTAAAAAACCACCCATACATCGCGGCTGAACGTTATTTTTTGCCACTCCAGCCTGAATAGGTGATAAAGGCTCTAAAATTTCCCACAGAAAGCGAACGAAAATCGATTTTTGCATCAAAGTCCATCAGTTGAAAGCCGGAATTGGCGCAACCCGGGCGGCCAACACAAGAAAATTCGCCACAAAGGTTGGTTGGTAAATCTGCATCCCTTGGACTGCTCATCCCCCTTTGGTATGCCGCCGCGTCTCCCCCATACACACGATAATTTGATTTCGCCCACGCCATAATGACATTTTAACTATAAAAGCTTTTTAACTGGGCGCAAAAACAAAGGCGCAGCAATAATTAAGTTTGAATGTCATGCGGACGCACCGACGGATGGAAGGTCAGAGAGCGGAAAGAGCATTCAGATTTTCAGAAGGTACAAAAAACAAGCAAAAAGGTCCCTCTGTGAATCACTCTGGGTCAATGGGATTCACAAATTCTTCAGTTATCTATTTTTATGAGGAATTCATTTAACATTTTTTTTTTAAATTAAACCAAAATTTTAAAGTCCTAGAAGAGGCAATAATTAATAGAAATAGTTATTTAATATAAAAAATAATTAGTTCTGAGAATTATGAGGTGCAAACAATTGTAATTAAATTTTTATTATATTTAATATATTTTAAAGTCTCCTCTCATTCTAATTAATATTATATTACGTTTGATAATTTAACATTCCTTCTGATGAAAACAGTAACAAATTACGGCTTAAAGTAATTAAATTTAGTAGCAAACTTTTGAATTTTCAATTTGGATTTTTTGTTAACAAAAAAAGCTTCAAATTCCCTGGGGGCGTGCGACGAGTGTATAATTAAAATTTATTTGGCAGTTGGCAATTGTTTCGTCGAAAGGGCAGCGCTAATTTTTGCGACTTTCAGCGAGCGCAACCATTTGCGGTCAAAGTGGTTTTCGGCGTCGCTCCGTATTTTGCGCGAGGGCTAAAAAAATGCACGTCAACTCACCAACAAACTCGACGCTAAGGATGGTCACGAAGCACATCCACACTCGCTGAGCCTCCATCATGGTTTTATCGCACTAACGGCATTACACTGGAACAAAGACAAAGAGCGTCCTGTTAATACTTTGCACACAGAGAGAGAGAGAGAAAGAGCGGAAAAGAGGATGCTGTGCGCAAAGCCGTGTTATACACATGTTGTGTGAAACGCTGAAAGGAACATTACATGCATTTTATACCCACACCCATCACTTTTCTCCATCAAAATATATATAAAATATCCACTTTTGAAAAATATTGCATAAATTAACTCTATATTTTGTCAAAGGCACAAACTTGTGTGTTGATTTGATTTCCTTTTAAGATTAAAATTTTGTCCACTTTATTATATTTCCGACCACTACAATTCTAAAACGAGAGGGTCTGTAGGTGTCTGCTTATTTAGTTAAATTATTACTAATTTGTTTGAGCAAGGAAATCATTCACACGTGCTTTCAAATGTATAATTAATTTTTTTGGTTACATATTGCGTTATCAATCAAAGGCTAAGGATAATAATTAAACAGAGGTATATGTTCTTCGATGCCGCACTTGTAGCCAGAAGAAATTAAATGAAAATTGACAAAATTCCAAGTCAATCCTGTTCTTTTTCTGTAATGTAAATAGTTTAATGTAAAGTACATTTACGAGAATAAAATTGGACTGTTGGTTCTTTTAGGCCTTCTGTGAACTAAATAATTAAAATTCAAACCAAAAAATCAGAAATAAATGTTAAAATAATTTGGCACTACTTTTTTTTTTATCAAAATGATGGTTTTAAATTTTTATAAATTTTGTTAATGCTTCAAAAGGAATTGTAGATTGTCTTTGGGATTAAATCCGTTTCTCCGTTTTAAAGTCAGATTGTGTTGCCGGGTTATGCAACCGGCTGTGTTTCAGGGTGGCCGCGCACCAGAAGGAAATCGTATTTTCTGCTAAATGAATTTCGGGTCGAGACATCTCTGCATTCAAAAGCTATACTAATCGCCGTGCACGTGACATCGAAACGATCTTTCTCTCTGTCGGCAAAAACAAACAGGATAAAATTGGAAATTATTATTAGCAAGAGCAGAGAGAGACGAGTTATATTTTGACGGAGCGCCGGCGGCTGTTGTAAAAGATGGTGTATCAGAAATCGATGCGAAAGGAGCGGAGAAAGATGATGATGATATGGTAGTTGTCTATTGGATTGCGATATGCTTTGTTGGGTGCGAATTCCAAGCAGATCCTGCTCATCTTCAAACGCAGCAGCGCCTCTCTTTTCGCCACTCTTTTTCTTTTGAAGTGAAGGAATGGGGTAATACAAATTCCTTTCTTGTGCACACCGTGTTTGGCAAGATGTAACGCGCGCTCTCTTTCTCCGCCTTGGCTTTTCAAGATTATATCGTTCTAGCCAATCAATAAAGCCCTTCCAGCTACACACAGTGAAAACAATTTGGAAAAATATTCAATCCCGAGTCTGCTCCTCGCCCTGTGTACCTTTCATCCCTCTTTCTCTTTTATGCGTTTAATGCAAACTCGGCCGCGGTGGCGCCATAATGCGCGTCCCTGCTAAAATTTATTACAGCGAAAAAGGTCAGAGCTTCGGGAAATGTGGGAAGGGGCCAAAGAAGCTCTCCAGTCTCCAGGATAATGTGAAATTTGAGTTTACTGTTGTGAAGAAAGTTGCCACTGAATGCGAGATTATCAGAGACTTAAACATTTTAACCAATATGTAAAAAAAAATTGTATTTGTAATTTAAAATGCGAAAACTTTGTTGGAAATGAAGTGGTCGGGCTTTTCCATGATCATCTCCTCGAGTGTCAACTTCTTCAAAACAAATAAAACTTTGTTAGTTATATTTAAAAGTTGAAATTATTTGTGATTTTTTACTTACAAGTGATTTTAGCTTTAAAGTGGATCAATAATTTCGGAATTTACGAAGTGTGTCAAATTAAATTTTATAATTAATCGTATTTCATAAATTTTTACGCTCTCAATAATTTGTAAAATTGTATTTTGTACATTCTATAGAATTAAACTTTCTCTGAGGCTGCAAATATATCCAACTTTCTGTGTTGCAAAACGTCTTAAAAATAAGTTTTACATAAAATGTTGTCTCTGATGTCGGATACCCAATTTGCATTAATGAATTTGAGCTTGAATTGCATTGAAACTTGAATTTGCTTTTGCAAAACGATCAAAGCACATTAGCTGCAACTTCCGTGTGCCTAACGAGGTTAACGGCGGCACTCTCAGGGCAACCCAAAACGCACTCGAATTCGGGGCCTTTGACATGCTTATAAGGTGTGGCGCGTAACTTCGTCATCTGCTTCTTGGCTTTCATCAGCGCACTTGAATTTAAAATGTTTGCATGCAAATAGAGGTCGGGGGGGCGAAGCCACTATCTTTGAAGTGCGGCGCGCGCGATAAAAAGGCGCAAAACACCCTCTTGCTTTAATACCTGCGCCCAAGTGTGTTCATAAATTAAAATAAAAAGGCGCGGGCATAACTCAAAAGTGGACGCTTTTGGAATTTCTGCCGCGCGCCTAATGAAACTTTTGTTATTTCGTGATTTACGTCTCGGCGGCGGCGAACTTTGCGCGAAATTTTGAGTTATTCTCGCCATCTCATCATTCTGCATTTGCAGCGCGGAATTCCTCCTCCTCGCGTGTCCCTTTCGCCTGCTCATGAATAATGCACGCGCGCGCCACGGTAGATTTTCATTAGCTGCCACTTGTGCTGCTCGCATCGGATTGACCCTCTCGAATTCATGAATAAACCGCGCCATATTCGGATAACTTTTCAATCAACACGCGCTCGCACCCTAATTGCACGACTTTAATTCCATTTCCTGCGCCCTTATCTCGTCGGACCCTCGCGTGAATTATATTCGTCTCTTTTATTTAGTGTATTTTATATTTTAATCTGAAAATCCTCTTTCCTCTGCTCCCTTTCTTTTTTATCTCCGCATTAGGCCGTCGTATTTTTACGGCTTTTATTGTCCGAGACAGCCGCTGGAAAATACATAAATTTGATAGTAAAGAAGTTGTAGGCTGATATAATTTCCAATGGCGTCAAATTTGTATAATGGACTTGCTGAGCGATAAACATTTTTGAGAACTTTCAATTATAAATTGAACATGGTTTTTGTTTTTTGATTTTAATTTATTTCAAGGGAAGTCTTGAGGAACAAGAACGTAAGTGATAGCTTTTGCATTGATAGTGTAATCAAGTTTTTCCCCAGAATCCTATAAGTCTTTTAATATTTCATCCGTTTAAATTTTCATACTTTTTAATTGTAGCCTGATGTAAATAAGCAGAAATTATAAAAAATTAATTTATATATTTCGGAGTGTTCAGTATTTCTTTTGCATAAAATTTAATTCACAGAGGTATAAATGTGTATACGAAGAAAGTATTAAAATTACATTTCATATTTCAATTTTATTATTGAAGTGTTTGCTCATTAGTACTTTTTATAAGACTAATTAAGGTGATATTGATACAGATCACTGAACAAGGCCAAAAATTTCATTTATATAGATTTTCAGAATTATTGCTGCAATAATTGGTTTAAATTTATTTTGAATTTTAACAATCTACGATATGTAAGTCTCAAAAGTACTTCCAAATCAATATTCATAATAAACTGCATTTGAAATATTTAAAAATATTAAACAATTATAAATCAAAATATATTATAAAAAGTAAAAACAAAAAATCGCAAAAAATAAATAAAGGAGTAAGGATTATGATTTCAAATAAATATTAACTTGATTTATTTTATTTACTTTCAAAATTGCATTTCAATCAAAATATTAAATTGGTAAATTAAAAAAAAACATTAAAAAAATTATTAATTAAATTTTTAAATAAGGAGAATTTTCAAATCATGGATAACTGTAAGCGTGATCATTATATAGTTATATAATAAATAGCTGCAGATTTTTCGTTCTTGTTGTTTACGTTTGCAACACGTGATAATAAAAAATAGCGAGAAAATTGATGAGGTGCGGCGCACGCCAAGCGCCACTAAAACGAAATTATCGAATTACACATTTAGCGCAGCAGCCAGCGATGGGGGTGATTATGTTGTACGTATGCACAGTTGTTTTTATTTCATTAGGGCTAATTATACACGGGGCTGTGTTGCCGCCTCGGAAATTTAATAAAACGCGCGCTCGCTGCGAATGGAGTTATCAGTATTAAAATTATGCACGCCCTCATTAAAGGAGCGCAAACAGCCTATTTGGCGCGCCGACAAGGTGCCATATTAAAAAAGGAAGGAGAAAAAATTCGTCTCATCCTTTGGCAAATTTAATCCACCCTCGTGTCTCGCGTCGTCGTTATTTGAATTTTATTATTCCTCGGGGGTGGGGAAGAAAATGTCGTTTCCACCGGCGCGGCAAAAAGTTAAAGAAAAGAAAGGTGTGTGCAGCTCCCCCCTGTAATTAGCGCCAACAACGCCTCTTTTCAGCCAAGGTGAAATCGCCCTGAGGCACAGATAATTCTCAAAACTGTCAAGGCGGCCTCTTAATTGGTTTCCGAGTTTATCCCATGAATTCGTCTCAATTCAAATTCATATAAGGAATTAAATTGTGGATTGACTTGTAACTTAAATCGATAACTTAATAATAAAAATAATTATATTTAAGATTCAAAAATAATATCCTTTTTAATAAAATTATAATTTATTCTGCTTAATCTGAATATGAAATTTTTATTTATGTGTTGAATTCACGCCAATTTTGTGAAAAACTATAATATTCCAATTTGATTCAATGTAAATTTGCAATAAATTCAATTTTCCTAATTGATTAAACATTTCATGGGAAGCCTCCTTGTAATTGTAGAGGAAAATTATCATCGTTGTTATTTATTGAGCTTTTTTAGCAGAAAAGATAATTTGATCGGGAAAAATTCACGCTGATCACTTTTCCCAGCTTCTAAAACTATTCAATGAAAGCGCGTGTAAATGAAGTCAACTGAAATTAAAGCCACACGTAAACTGCGTTTTGTCCACTTGATGTTCACCTGCTGGGGGCGACCGGCCCTGCATATGATATATTTTA